CTGAGAAAAAGACACCCTGAGTGCTCCCGGTGGTCCTGTTTAAATCTGCTGCCAGGCTGTGACATGGCCCCCCTGTGTCAGAGCCCACCTCAAGCGCCCATGCTTAGCAGGCCAGCCCACCTGCTGACGTGGGTGACCGGCTGTTAGGATAGCCTCTGGCAGCTGCCTCCCAGATGCCTGGCTATGTGGCCAGAAGCAGCCATTGCCCCCTCCTCTCTCTCCTGGCCCGGGCAGCAATTGTGGGCTACGGTAAGTCACAGCTGGTGTTTATCAAGATGAAGGTAATAGGATGGACGGTGTTTTATCTGTAACCAAAAATCATTGTGTATCAGTTAAGGGCCATCAGGTGGCTTCAGGCTTACAGTGACCTTATGAATTAATGACCTCCAGAATGCTCTAGCGTTAACATCCTTGTTTGGGTTTCGCAAACTGAGGGCCTTTGTTTCCTTTATTGAGCCAATCCATCTCACGCTGGGTCTTCCTCTTTTCCCACTGCCTTCAGCTTTTCCTTGCATTATTGTCTTTTCCAGTGACTCTTGTCTTCTCCATAATCGGATCAAGGTACGATAGCCCTAGTTTGATCGTTTTGGCTTCTAGGGAGAGTTCAGGCTCAACATTAAAATCATTTTAAAATAATTGAAATCTTGGTTAAAGATTTTTAGCTTCGTTCTGTGTACTTCTCAGACCACTTCTTGTTTGATGCATCATGCTGAAATAAAATTCTCAGTGTTTTCTGTTCAGGGTTAAAGCTGGCCTTCTGTTTAGAAGTGGGGGTAGGTAGGAACTGACAAATTTTAATTATTTTTTTTTACATCGTAAATCTCTGAAAGCATTTGTGTGAATATAGCAGTCTTTTTAATGTCTGCATTAGACTTGACTGCCCTATGTGTTTGAACTCTGTATAAATAAAATATCATGTTGTAGTACTTAAATGCACCCAGGATACATTATTGATAGTTCTCTTGTACTTAAGCTCATTAAGAATGAAAACAGTCAGGTACAAATAGCCCTTTTAGTTGAAGCTGCATTGGGTTTGAGATAAACTAACATTCTGTATGCAAACAGATTGAAAAAACTACTACTACAGGAACAATGCATGGCTCAGCTGACTATTTTTTGCTGTGCTGAATGAGCATCACTAATAAAAAATAAAATTGTTCGCAAAGTTGGCTAGCAAACCCTGATTCAAAGCGATCCCCAGTGCTGATGTGGCCTTTTAAATCATTGTTAAGAAATCACAAGCAGTGTGATCTGGCATTTAGCTCCCAGTCTCTTAATCATACTTAAAAGAAAGGAGTGTTGGATTTGCACCGTCTTGAAGGGCTAGATCATATTTTTAAAATCAAGGTTTATCAATTTTTTGTGTGTGGCAAACTGGATTCTTTTAATTAAAAATGGGAATTCAAGGCCATTGCCGGGAACTGCACGCAGTGGCATCATCTGATGTGCTGAAATAATCATGACTGTTTCCTTTTGAGGGGTGAGAGGTAATGAAATATGCTTCAGAGGTAGGGAAATAGAGCTGTCAAAGTACCATCTTTGTTTGCCGACATAGTGAAGATTATACAGTTTTAGGCAGTAGGTAAAATATGGCACCACTCCTGGACTCTTGATACAAGTTGGTAAGGGACCCTGATCAGGCATCACTTTTTAGTGGGCTGGTTCCCATTACTGTAGTGGTGGATGATTCTCGAGTGTCTCCCCCATTTCTCTATATAAAAGGATAATGTTCGTATATTGGCTGTACTACATTTATGTGGGATCTCCTCGACTCCATGATCTTCTGCCTGTCTCAGTGATGGGCTGCTACATGAGGCATCTGGCTGAGCTAAACAAGTCCTTGGTATGATCCAGCACAACTATTCTTCTATATACGAAAACACCAGTTTAGTGCAATGACTGCCTTTTCAAATGTGATACAGAGGACACGGGGGGAGAATACTTTTTTATTATTTTGTTTAATTGGCTTATACTCCGCTTTTCTCACCAATGAACCAGTTTGGTGTAGTGGTTAAGTGCGTGGACTCTAATCTGGGAGAACTGGATTTGATTCCCCACTCCTCCACTCACAGCTGCTGGATGACCTTGGGCAAGCTATAGTTCTGTCAGAGCTGTTCTTGAAAAGAGCACTTTCTGTCAGAGCTCTCTCAGCCCCACCTACCTCACAGGGTGTCTGTTGTGGGGAGGGGAGAAGAGTTTGTAAACCGCTCTGAGACTCTGAGTGAAGGGCAGGGTATAAATCCAATCTTCTCCTCTTCTTCTTCAATGGAGACCCGAAGTGGCTCACATTCTCCTCTCCTCTATTTTATCCTCACATCAACCCTGTGAGGTAGGTTAGGCTGAGAATGTGTGACTGGCCCAAGGTCACCCAGTGAGTTTCCATGGCAAGAGTTGGGATTCGAATCTGGATCTCCCAGATACTAGTCTGACAGTCTTAACCACTATACCACACTGGCTCTCTTGTGAACCTGGGTCTCAACCGACTGTTACCACACTGATTCAGCCTTCTGACACCATTTAGAGCCTAAGGTCTCAAAGAGGGAGAAATGCTGCTAAGGGTGATGCTAAGTGGCAAGGTCAGATACCAGTTTTTGTGTGTCCAGAATTACATGAAAGCATATTAAGGGCTTTAGGATCTTCACTTTTCTGATTGTCTTCTTTTTACTTTACTTCAGGATTTTCTTCCCTGTCTTGAGTGAGAGTTCCTGGAGACTTTAGTCTTTGCTTAACTCATTGTTTTTTTGCACTTACTATTTCAGTGTGCATTTCTTGTGTGTGTGTGGGGGGGGGTTGCTCCATTTCTAGCTATCTGCTTTCTGGCTGTCATGTATTGAATACCTTTTCTTCTGGAACTTTAAAAGAAAAGTTAAGACCCCCACAGTTTCACTTGTGATTCACAAAACATGGAAATGTAAATTCAGGCTGCCACTTTAACTTCTTAACCCCATTCCTACGTGTATCTGTCAAAGTCAGTTCTGACTCTCGAAAGCTTGTGGGCTGGGGATCTTGTTGGTCTTCGCGGTGTTGCTGGACTTGAATCTTGCTTTTCTATGGCAGACCAGCACGGCTGCCCACCCGATGGCGGCTTTGACTCCAGCGTCATGTGGGCAGTACAGATGCTATCTAGCCTGACCTGTTGAGCTCACTGGTGTCTTAGGCTTCATACAGCTATATTTCCCCTTGCTCCTTTAATCTATTCTCCCACCCCCAATTAACATATCTGTTTTTTCAAAAGTGTGTTCCCGGTCATTATCTGTAACAATCACATTCTTAAGCGTTGGTTTAGCGCTGATGTCAGAGGAAGGCTGGGAGGTTAAAATGGCCTGGAACAAGGCACGCTGAGTGGCCCCTTCTGTGCTAGATGCCAGTGTTGCAGGGCCACTGAACTCCGCAGTGCATTGGCTAACTCGTTGCCTCCTCCCACACACTGGCAGTACTGCCAGAGGAAGGAGTTGTTTATCTTTGCTGCTGATGTGTCCTGAGAGAAAATGTCCCTGAGGCACTGTTAGAGCTGCTGGGCCTTGGCTCTTCTTGCTCCCGGCCAGTATTGGTCCTTTCGGGAAGCAGCCCACCAGGGAATTTCTCTTTAAGTTAAATGGTCAGTCTGCCCGTGACTGATCCCATATTCAGTGCTGATGAAGAGAACTGCAGATAATAGAGCAAGGAAAAGTGTAGCTGCATGAAGCTTAAGTTGTAAATGAACACAGTATGTCAGACTGTACAATGTTGTACCACTCCCATGGTGCAGACACTAAGGTGAGTTCTCACCTTATCACTTCACGGCTTGTCTGCCCCGAAACCCTGAATTTTTTTAAATAGAGTAGGATAATTTTGAGGACAATTTTCAAGTTTGTTGCGGCATTGCCCAGTTGTGTAACAAAAAACATCCATCTTTAAAGGTAGACTCATTGTGTGAAAAAAAAATATTTTCCCTTAATCCATTTATCTCTTGGATCTCCTGTCACATGTAGCAGTATTTGCTATGACTTCCAATTTTTTGCCAGATAGGCTACCACTATTTTTTTCTTTGGGCAGGCATTTCATTGGAAAGGTATGCTTCATTTTTCAGTGAATGTTTTATATATGAGAAGTTTGGATTTTATCTTTATTAATATGCAGTGTTTTTTCACCAAACTGTAAGGACAAGCCCCTGGAATATAATGCAATGTAAAATGAAAGAAAGAGAGATCATATTAATTTAAGCATGTTAAAGATGTCTCTCCATTGGACCCCTTATTTGTATTGCAATCTGATATAAGGAGTGTTTGATTCCCACAGATAGATTTCACTATTGTAAAAATTAAGATTCTTCTTGGATTTGGCAGTTTCCAATAAGGGCGACTAATCTTCTCTTTCATTTCTGTAATAAATAGTATTACCAAATGTGGCCTCCTTGAAAACATGATATTTGCATCATGTCTTTCTAACACTCATATGAAAGTCATTCATTCAGAATTGCCCAGAGGGTAAAGATAAGTAGAGTCATAATGTTGTGAATGTGTTTGCTACGCTTTATAGTGCCCTGCAGTCACATATGCCATATTGAATAATCCCTTTCTTTTCTCGCAGTAACTATGTGCATTCAGATGGCCTGGTCTTTGTTTATCTAATAATACTTTTAATGCAAATTTGTAGTCTGAGAGTTTACAGGACTTCACAGAATAGATAACAGAACAGAATTTGGTCTTCAGGGTTCACCAGTTAATTACATACTAGAACAGAAAAGTTTGTTCTCCTTAGTTATTTATGACTGCTGGTTTTAAATACTTAACATTAGCTTGGTGGTGGTCCCAGGATTGGTTATTAAATAGTAGAAATTGCTCTCAGGATATCTTGTTTATGGGTGGGCATGCAGTGTCATAAGTTTTTAGGCCTTATAAGTAATCTTTTTTTGCAGCAGTTGAGTATCTTGGAACTTAACTGGCTTGTGTTCACTTGCCATTATTACCTTGAATATGAAATAAATATTGACTAATTGTTTGCAACTTTCTCTTTGTTAGGTTCACTTTCCAGACACAGAGCGAGCAGAATGGTTGAATAAGGTAAGATGCCTCCGTGTTTCAGAATAAATTTTACATTTAGCCTTCTATCTTTTGGCCAGCTTATTTAACCTGCTACACACAATCTACTCTTTCTTGTGGAAGCTCAGAGTGTCTTTGTGGGGCTTGAAGGGTCATTAACAAATGTGCAGAATACAGAATAGATTACCAATCTTCTCAACTTGGTAACCATCAATAAATATATTTCTCAACATGGCCAAATCTATGGGTACATAAATCCACAGGTTGGAGCCATGAACAGACAATATGGATGTTTCTACAAACCTCAGGTTTACAGAGAAATCTGAAATCTAATTTTTTTAAAAAAGTGGGATGTTGACTCCCCAAATTATAGATGTAGTTTCTGTAGCTTTAAGAAATGAATGTCCTGTCAGTCGCCATTGTGGGGGTTGCTAGACAGCCACAACAGTATTGCCAACCTTCGAGCCTTGGTTTCGGTCAGTAAAGGGCAGGGGCATTTCCAGGATGGTTGTGACCTTTGAGAGAATACTTGTTGAAGCTAGACCTGGCAACAACCACCAGGTGACCTGATACCACAGAATTTGCATGATTTACCTTGGACTGACTGCTTCTTCCTGTTAATCAGCAGCCACCCCACAAAAACCATTGTTGTGCAGTGGTTACACTGTCAGCCTAGGATCTGGAAGATCCAAGGCTGACTCAGCACTCTGCCATAGAAGCTCCATGGGTGACCTTGGGCCAGTCACACATTCTCAGCCTAACCATCCTTGCAGGGTTCCCCACAGGTGGGGAAGATGGGAACGGTGTAAGCTACCTTGGGTCCACATTCTCAGCCTAACCTGCCTTGCAGGGTTTTTGTGAAGGTGGGGAAGATGGGAACGGTTTAAGCTACCTTGGGTCCACATTGTGGAGAAAGATGGGATATAAATGAAGTAAACACATACTATAGCTGAAGATGGGGGCAGATAAATTGTAGGTTGGTTGGTGAATGGGAAGGACAGAAGGAAGCAGGGGAAAGTGGGAATATGGGTGTTCCTAGGAGGAGGAAAGAACAAACTATGGGAGGGAGGATACAGGAAAAGTGAGGTCCCCCCTGCAAGTCCTTGTGAGTTAAGCACTTGCACCACTGGGCCCAGAGGCCAACACCATGCCGCTAGGCCATAGATTTGTCAGGTAGAGACTGCCAGGGGGAGGTGGGAAAGGAGGGAAAGCTAAAGGCAGGGGGCCCGATAAAAGTAGGTTTATCTGGTGGGTGAAAAGGAGAGAAAGAAGCAGGACATGGAGCCCTGGGGATTAGTTATGGCAAGAGCAGTTTTGTGAAATTGCTACCATCTGGAAAGGTGATATAGTGACTGATTGTATATCACTTTAAGAAGTCTTATGGAATAGTTCTGTTTGTGTGATCATATTGCACACGGTCCAGTGCATACACATATTTTTTTTCTTCTCAGACTGTGAAACACATGTGGCCTTTCATTTGCCAGTTTATTGAGAAACTTTTCCGTGAAACAATAGAACCAGCAGTGAGAGGAGCAAACAGCCGTCTGAGCACCTTCAGTTTCACAAAAATTGATATAGGCAATCAGGTAAGGTTCTGCTAGAATAAAACTGTACATAGTCTTCCTGGTGCACTTGGAGCTTTATATGAACAGAGTACCCTTTATTTGTTTAAATACGTCTGTAGTATTGACATGGCTGGCTATGGAGACCAAGTAGGTTTCAGAATCTGCTTTAACTTTTAAGGGACCTTAACTCTTGAAAGCTTATATCCTGAAAATCTCGTTGGTCTCTAAGGGGCTATAGAACTTGAATATACCTGCTTTAACTTAAGTTCTGCTTGATAGGAGATTCTGTTGTGGCAAAGCCTGTCCTTGTGATGGGTTGAAACAAAATATTTCCATAATTGTGTAGACTTTTTATTAAACTTTTTATTAAAATATATTTTTGCTTTTGCTGTTTTTTTACAATTATTGCTATTTAGCAAAAGTAGTAGCAGATCCTGAGATAAATATTTAGAGCATGTTCGCAGTATCAATAGGAACAATATGGGAAAATATTGAACTTATTTATATAGAATGCAGTTACTGGCTGTCTTTTTTGCTTTAGCACTCAGGTTTTCTACTGTTCTGTATGCTGTTTTCCCTTCCTGTGTTGCTGGCGGTTGATCAGTTGCTTGATTACTACTGAACTGTTGCTATGGCAATGAAACAACAGAAATAAAAAGATTGCGAAAAGTAAACTATTCGTATTACAAGATTGTTTAAACTTTTAAAATCGGTGCTTGTCGTCTCTGTGCGCGTTGAACAAACATTGCAGTTTACTTGCAAAAACACTGCTCAGGGCATACATACATATAGCTCTAAAGCAATTCTGCTCACAACAGATACTGTTTGATTACTCAACTCAGATTTGTGTTGACTCAGTTGCCAACAGCAGTGGGTGTCCTGCCCCAAAGATTGTAGTTCAAATATTAGTCCTTGGGTTAACAGTGACTGACTATGCAGTAAGCTTTTGGACAAAAATAATTGGGATAAACTTTTTAACACCCGTCCAACATGCTTGCTAATGTGGATGCAGTGACCAAACTGGGGCATGGTTTCTGTCTGCATCTTTTAAACAAATCTGTACTACAGGTTTAGTATGGGGAAGATGGACAGTGGGTAGGTGGGACTGGGCAGAGAGACCATTCTTGCTACGTTAGGTGCTTTCAGTTCTTTGAAAGTCACTTTGAAAGATAGGCCCCAGGATACTTTTCACCTTCTCCATAGGTAATAATATATTTACTGTTTGTTCTTGTTTTCACTTTGAAAAAGAACAGGACTGTAACAAGTGGCTACTGGCATTTAGGCATCGGCTGGGGAATATAGTGCAGTTTGTGCAGGATGGGCTCTCTGCATGACCAAAAAGGGAGTCCCCTTAAGGGGCTCTGGGGGTGGGGTGCAGGACAGCTGACCTCAGGGCTGATACATTGACTGCACCCCCAGGAAGAGGGTGATGTCTAGGAATAGCAGTTTCTGTTGCTGCCAGCCCTCTGCCCTCGGTTACCCTAACAGGCAGGTTGGGGAAGGTACTGACAACCATTGGGTTATCAGTTGCACCAATTTCCCCCTTGCTGTACCGAGACTTGCGGAACCTGTAATCAATTAAGGTGTGACCTGATTCTTTCCAGTATGGTGTGTCTGTGTCGTCCTTCTCCATGCCCACACCACCATGGGCTGGCCCCTACTCTAGGCACAATACACTGCAGTGGCAGACCCCGAAACCAGGCTTAAGATCCAAGCCACTGTGTTCAGTTTCAGTTCTAGGGTTTTGATTTCTAGGGTGAAACCTTGTAATTTTTTCTTGATGAATCTCAAAAGCTGCTTAATATGGAATGGTTTACTCTTGCTGCCCCCTTGCAAAATAAGTCTGCAGAAGCATTGAACATCCTGCCAGTCCACATGTCCCTGTTAGGTATTCATGGCATGCTTATTTATTCATTTATTGCTCTTTCATGGCAGTGTCGGTAGTTCTTGTAAACAGACTCCACTTGATCAGGCTGAATCCCTGTTTGGTTTAACACCATAACAACATCTTTAAGCCCTCAGATCATTCCTTGTGCATTTATGGTGAAAGAAAAACAGACCTTCTTTCCCCCCTGCCTGGCTGTTAGGATACAGTTTTTACCATAGGAGACCAAGTGAATTAATGGAATAATATTGTGATATATGGTCTGTAGGACAAAAATGACGTGTTCTGACATACTGCTAATAGACAATCTGACTTTTAGAATGGGTGGAATTAATTCGTAGTGACACATTCAGCATGAGTAGCACATTCTGTAAGCCGCTGTTTCTGAATCTGTATTCATGTCAAACTGACTGTTAAGTAAAGTTTGAGCTTTACATTTAAGCATAATTTTGGTAGAAATATTAAGCTATTAAAATGGAAATCCTGTTACTTCAGCCCCTTAGGATTAATGGTGTTAAAGTGTACACTGAGAATGTGGATAAAAGACAGATCATTTTGGATCTTCAGATCAGGTAATAACATGGTATTAAAGGTATTAAAACTAGTTTATATATTTCATGTTATGGATCTGCTGATTAATTTAGCCTTAAATAGTTCACAGCCATTATGCGCTTGGTGGATAAAGTGTTCTGTTTAACTTTGTGTCCCAATATGAGATCATGTTTCATGTAAGCTGTATCGCAAAGACATAAGCCAAGTAAAATGGGCTGAAGGGCAGCAGTGTCATTAATGAATTGTATGACACAACTAGCTAGCCTTTCCCTGCTTGCTTTCTGTTGACACCTGTTAGGTCTGTTGTTGTTGCAAATGAATATAATACACATAAAACCATTTATAAAGAAAAGTGCTATAAGGTTTTATAAGTGATTCCAGTAGCATGCAGAAAAATGTATTATTTCACACACACACACACCACAGCACAAATTCACACACACACACACACACACCACAGCACAAATGCTAGCAGGGCAGCTATGTTAGTCTGCTGTGACGAAACCAAAATGAGCCTTATGGCACCTTAAAGATTAATGGATTGATTGAAGCATGCACTTTGGTAAACAAGCACAGGCGTTCGTAACAACACACTAAGATAATTAATGTGTATAGTTCAGCACTGGAGAGAAATAAAGTGTATTAGGGTAAAAAGTATCACTGCAAAACATGCCAGGATTGTGATCCAAGGAGGTAATATGTCAAGGGTGATCCAACAGTTTCCCCTTCAATACATTTCCCCTGCTAAATCAGAGCTCTTTTTCAATTGAGTTTAAAATCTAGCTTGAAGTGCTGCTATTGAAGTTACCCTACAGATGTGCATGCACAAAGCTCTGGCAATCGATGTTTGGCCAGATTCTAGGGCATATTTATTTATTTATTTGGCGGTTGTCAATGTTATCAATGTAATTCTTGTCCCTATAAATCTATGTATTTTTTCAGTTTTGTTGGTAACACTGAAATTGACTTGGAAATCAAGAGGTACTTCTGCAGAGCTGGTGTGAAGAGCATACAGGTAAATTTTAATTCTCTTGGACATGTCATATAATTCTTTTTTGTTTAATTTGTAATAACAAAAATGAAACCTCTCCCCCCAAACAGGAAGTGAAACTTTAGCAATTGATTTGGCCCACTTAACACAATTGTAAAAGTCTGATATAGGTATATTAACAGAACAAATTTAGAGTCCCAGTGGCACCTTTATGACCAACAAAGGTTTATTCAAGGTCTGTATGTATGAGCTTGAATAAACCTTTGTTGGCCTTAAAGTTGCCACTGGACTCTAAATTTGTTCTGCTGCTTCAGACCCAACACATCTGACTACCTAAGGTATATTTAACAGATTTGTTCAATCAATAGTATGTTGCTGTTTCTTAGGCTGTATCCCTAATTCCAGTTTTGTATACTGTTTGACTGATCAATTTCTTTTCTTTTTGATTAGATTCATGGTACAATGAGAGTTATAATGGAACCGCTTCTTGGAGACATGCCCTTAATTGGAGCACTCTCGCTGTTTTTCCTTAGGAAGCCGGTTAGTAAAAGGACTTGAGATTTTTCATTCTCTGTCTTACAAGGCATTGCTGATTTATTTTAGTGGATCTATAATGAAGTCTTGGGATGTCGAATCAGAATTTTTAGATGACAGCAGTCGGCATTCTTAGGAAATGTTATTTTTACTGACCAGAATTCTACATGGTAGTAACTGGTAACAACTAGTTTCTAAGGTCTGTTTGAGGATCAGCAGCATAGACCAAGTCTCTGCTGCCAGTTCGCCAAAGTGAGTTGCTGGCAACTCTCAGGGCTATGTGCAACAGTCCCTGTCTCTGTATGCCTTCTGGAATAGAGATGTGGACCCAGGTTTAGTCTAGGAGCCCACATTTGCTGGATATTGATCCAGAAGGCTTCACTATGAAACAGAAGTTATGCATTTGATTATAGTGGAGTATCTATGGTAAAATAATAGGACTATACTGTGTACTGACTCATTAGTCCCTGTGAGGAAACCGGACTACAATGTAAATACTGTAACAGGATGATTCAGGGAAACACTTTATAAAGGACAATGGAGTATTCCACTGTGTGTAGAACATATTATTTATTTGCTACACATATTATCCTGTTGTTGCTGCCTTATTTTCTATTGACATAATAGCAATTTTCTGCATTGTATCTGCACTCTGTAGCATTGTCTAATATGCTATGTTCAGTCAGATTTCTGTAATCCTAGTAGATTTATTATTAGATGTCTCATTGTATTTTATTGACTTTCTCAGTGAGGAAGGTGGGCTATAAATATAGTAAATAAGTTCATTAATGCACAAAGCTGTATAACCTTAAATTTTCCTGTTATGGTCACCTTCTTTCATACTTTGTGAAGGTGTAATTTCTGCAATCTACACAATAAAGATCAGGTTGATACAGTCATTTTTGAAAACCATAGATTAATGGCAGTAGGTTTATCTACTGGATAATAAAATACACTCAGATTTTTAGTGTTAAACAGCTACAAAATCCTGTTCTTCTTAAAACAGGAATAGTTAGAGGTGTAGTTACAGACTACTCAAATTGTAGTCATCACAGTATTAATTCACAGCAAATAAAATCTAACACAATTTAATTCAAGTGTGTGTTCAACAGAATTCTGTATCTTATTTCCATGTCTGCACATATGCTGTGCAGTCTAGCACAAACTTTATGGGAATATCTACTTTAATGTTATTTCAAAAAAGGCAGTGTCAAGCCCTCAGGGTTGCTGAAAAGTTGAATGTGCCAGGAGCAAAAAAAAGCCTTAGGCAGAACTTATGTGCATTTGGTCACCTTTTGCTCCTATGATCCTATTTCCCATCTCCATGCATCTGTTCTTTCACTCTCTTCTGCGTTCTTTATTGCCTTGCACCAGAATAGTAAGAGAACTTCAGAAACTCTTTTACTGCAGAGTTAAGCAGAACTGAAGGATTTATCTATTTTTTTCCCCTTTATATTGTGTTTGTGTTTCTTGAGGAAGGCTATTTCATATCCAAGCCCACTTTGAAAGAATACTAAATTTTCAAATTCATCTTTGAATAGCTGGAACAAAATGCCCTGAGTGGAGAAAATGTAGCAGCAGAAAATTTGTTTCTTTGTTTCTTTGTCTAATGCTCCCTAAGGGTGATGACTAGGAGTGTGCAAAAAAAAATCTTTCTGATTCAGGTCTATTGGACCTGAAAAAGATCGGTATTCCCGAATACCAATATCGGTTTTGTATTGGGATTTGGGTAAATATTCGGGAAACCTGAATCTATTTGGCTCCTTTGTAACCTATGGGGACTATCCCCATAGGGTATAATGGAGAAGGGGTTTAAAGTTTAAATGCTTGCTGAGTTCACTTGCCGAGTTGTGCTGCGGTGGTGGTGCGACTCTGCAAGGGAACTCAGCAAGCATTTGAAGTTTAAATCCCTTCTGAGTTAACCCAGCGAGTTAACGTCTGAGTTAAATTCCTTCTAACGGAGTTATCTCTGATCTCTGTTTGGCTGAATAAATACCCAAAAAATACCAATAAGATATCTTGCTAACTGGACAGATCATTTTCCTTACTACGTACTGCCTTGTCGTCTGTATTGGGAACCTAGATATAACATTCTGGTGGCCATCTTAGCCAATCTGACTGCATGCACAGCTGAGGAGAAAATTAATATTCCTTCTCATGGATGCAGACCCATATGTTACATATGTGGCAACCATATATGCTGTGACTGCCAAGAAAATACATACAAAAGTGTTGTCTTAAAACTTCAAATCTGTAGCTTTGTAACCTGTTTTAATTGTGTGGCATCTTATCTTGATCTTATTCTTATGTTTTATCTAGACATACTTTCTAATGGCCTTTGGCTGCACACAATAAACATTTACTACTAAGTTATTAGTAACATATGTCATCTTGTTCTTCTTTATGGCATTGGAAATATTTGGATATACTCAAATACTATAATCCCCCATTTCAGCCATTTTTAAAATGTGCAATAGCCTTAAAATTAGCTGTTAGAGTGGGGTAGGTAGATTAATCTGGTGGCTGCTTTACTTTCTTTTAACTACCAGGCTGAAACACATCTTTTTACCCAGGCTTTAAATTAGGAGTTTTATCTTACCAGCTTTTTAATGGTCTACTTTTATTTTATGAATAGTGTATATGCTGTTTATGTCCTGTGGCTTGTTTTTATTTTGTGAAGTTGTTTTAATTGTAAGCTGCCTTGAGCAGTACTCTGAAGAGGTGGCATGGAAACACCCTAAAATAAATAAGTACGCCATAAACGATGCATCTTGTCATAAACAGTGCAGAAAATGGAAAGGCAAAAGTAGAAGACAATGCATTATGAGCAGGATAAAACCTACAATAAACTTTAAGATCGACTACAATGTTATTCTTTGGAAATTGGAAATCTCAAAATAAGGATAGTGGTGGTGTGTGACTCCAAATTTATTGGGATTGTAAATTCCCTAGGAGAAGCATTCTCTGTTGTGGCTCTCACCTTGTGGTACTACCTGCCTGAGGGAGTTAGGAAGGCTCCCATACTTCTGTCATTCCTCAGAATACACAAAGCAGAAATGTTCAGGAGGACTTTTCTGTAGAGGTATCAGAAATGCAGTATAATGGAACAGTCCAGGAGTGTGCTTTTATAACGGAATAGGATTAATTGTTGCAGTTTTCAGTTTATTTTTTCTGCCACTTAAATGGCAAAAATTCAGATGCGTGTATTGTGGTTCACAGTAGGGTTGCAGATTATTGCAATTGGTGCTGTCTTTTTCTGTCATTAGTATTAGGTGTATTTGCAACTTTTATTGGAGAAAACACAGGTATTTTTAGATTCTAAATTCCATAAACATGCTACTAGTACAACTTCTTATATGCTAAGTTATAAATCTTTAAACACAAGTCTATGATAAAACATATTTAGGCATAATAAGAAAGGATTGCATATCTTTGTTTTCTCCAAAGTTTCTGTTGTTGTTTTTCCAGGGGAATGAGGGAAGATAGAAAATAAAGCTTTCTTCTGTGAATTCAAAATATCCAGAAACATTACATCTCTAGTTAGCAGTAGTTCCAGATAACTTTCTCCTTGCAAATCAAGCTATTATACTTAAGTTTTCTACAAGTGTTTTAACAGAGGCAGTTAAAATTTGATCCATACTGTACTCATTTTGAATCCCATATCTAGGTCTAATTGTAGGGTAGTCAAACAGTTTCTGAGCAAAACTGTGAAAACTAACTACCATCTGTAATTTTTTTCCAAAGGATTAAATGGATTTCCCAAATTTATTTTAACTGTTTTTTTATTTGTTAGCTGATATACTAATGGATGTGAATGTTGTTATTCCACCCACTTTGCTGCTGTAATCCATGGGTACATAACTTTTTTTGTGTGTGTGGGGGGGGGGGAGCTGATAAATGTTTCAGTTGAAATAATACTTTTAGAAATGTTGAAAATGAGATCAAAAGATACCTTACTCATTAGAAAACTTTGACTGAATGTGGTAAATAAAAATGTGTGTGCTTGGGCTGTACTTGCTATCTCGTTTTATGGAACTTGTTTTCTCACTGATACAATAATCTTCCACATTCCATTTATTTTTGTCTCAATAAAAAAACAAAGTAGTAATATTGATTTCCCATTTTGGCATGGAAAGTATGTATGTGTGGTATATCTAAACCTTTAGTCTTCTTGCAAGAATCAAAACAAGAAACAGTTACCACCATCTCACTGAAAAAAGACATTAGATATGGACTGATGTCTTTCCTGTGTAATATACTTTTGGTTTTCTTGACAATCATACTAAGTATTAGAATCTTTAGTGCACATTTTGAATTCACTCTCAAGAAATGTCTTTATAGCCAGTGCTACAGTCAGGACCATCATTCATTCTGCTAATCCTCGTACTTATAAACACTAACTTTGTGCCTGTGAGAATTGCCAGACTCAGACTTCCAACCAGTATGTAGCTGGAACTGTTTTCTTCAAGGGCAAGACTGTAGTTTGATCTGCATATTAGTCTGCTTACATGTTTGAAGAAAGAGCCCCGCAGAATGTTAGATCCCATTAGTGAGCTATGGAGCTTGCTATATAAACAACTTATGCCAATTCCAGTTAGGTCAAAAGTTCCCAACTGTAATCTACAGCAAAGTCATGAGACGAAAGGCTGTCCTCGTATGTTCATTCCACTGTACAGTCTACTTTCTTCTCCAAGACTGGATAAGTTCACACTTGTTTGCCATCCACCTGCCAGTACTGCCAGTTTTGCCCATTAAGTTTACATCACACCTTGGTTCTATGGAATTTTTATTTCAGTGCGTTTATTTTTATGTAACTTTCAAATCCAGGATCAGGTACCAAAGTTGGAAATGGTTCCTTAGTGCAAAAAGCAATGAAAACCAAGTTCATTGCCCAATTAAAATATACTCCTACAAACAATGCAAGCTATGCTATCTGTCTGAATCCCCAGTGGCTGAGTTTTTCCATTATTTCCTCAAAAATGTAAACAAATAGAAATGTATTTTGAAGGCTTTGACAACTGGCTATTTTTGCTGGAAATAATAAAAAGGCTGTTTAAGCCATAATAGTCTCAAAAATCCTATCAATACTGCATAGGATTTGGTATTTGGTTAGTACATGGGGGACAGGATTGGAGGTCTGTCATGGAAGAGATGGGGGGAACTGGGGAAAATCACCCATCTCCTTGTGCCTGCAGAAATCTATGTAGAATCCAACCCCGTGTTTGGAATATTTGCCACATAGACCAGAGCTGTTAAATTCTTCACATTCTCAAAAGCTAGGGAAGGGGTTCAAAGGATTGCAATGAAATGGTCACGATCCACAGTTGAATTAAGCATAACTGCAAGTAAGGGGGGATAGTACCAGCAAGTGATTTTCAGTGGAATTTCCATGGCTACCTGCAGGCATGCTATAGTTCACAACATGTAAAAAAAAATCAGTTCAGGATTTATCACACCATCATAATGGTTGGTTTGTGTTTTTCATGCTGTCGTGCAATCTGACATAATTTTTTCTCATAGATCAAAATTTTACTATATAGTTGTGTTCTGTCACCTAGATTTTGAATGGCTGCAGCCAAGAAAAACTTTTCCTGTGATTTTTGTTAGGGGAAAGGCAGAGGAATTATTTGGCAACTAGTTAGGGATTTTTCCTCCTCATATTTTCCAGTCCAAAGCAACAACTGGCAATAATTCAGCATACGCTACAGCCAGTGTCTGGCCTTGATGACTATATATGGCTACGTTGCTTAAATTAATAATTCTGAACATACTTGTCTAATGAGTTTGCCAAAGCCTTCTATGGCTTGTGGCCTGTACAAAGATTTTATTACAAAGCCCCCGCCTTGTACTTTCTAAAAAAAATATATTGTAATTTTGTTGCTGTAACAGAAGATGGCCTACGTACCCATATCAAGATGTGCTCTCAGCTAAGACTTTTGAATGATTTTAAAGAGAACAAACAAGTATAAGGAGCTTTTGAAAGCTTTCTCTATTCTGATAACTTGTGCTAAAGTTTGGAAGGGAAAGTTCACCAATAAAGCAGAAAATAGGAAACTTTGGGAATTTTGTTTTGTGCTATTAAGCACAAGCTTCTCTCTATAAGAATAGATACATGCCTGACTGACCTTGTAAATCCTGCTTTCCTAATCTTGGAAGAGTTCACATGAACACATGAAACTGCCTTATACTGAATCACACCATCGGTCCAATCGAAGTCAGTATCGTGTTCTCAGACTGGCAGTGGCTCTCCAAGTTCTCAGGCAAAGGTCTTCCACATCACCTACTACCTAGTCCTTGTTTAACTGGAGATGCTGGGGATTGAACCTGGGTCCTTCTGCATGGCAAGCAGATGCTCTATCACTGAGCCATAGCCCCTCTCAGAGCTCAAGTGTGCAAAGGGAGAAGCTTCCATGCATATGTATTCTAGCTATCTTATGAAAGTCTTTACTCATTTTTGAAGTATTGCTTGACCTTTTGAATGAGTCAGTAACAAGGAATCTTCTTGAGGGCTGTTAAGGCCTGATGTTAGGAAAAAACTAGGCATTCAAAGGAAGAGAACAGAAGTTTCTCTGCATCGGCCTCTATATTTTCTAGTTTTTCTGCTTTCCAGCTCTGCATCTTGGGCACTTCCAGCATACAGAGAAAGCCAATCTTAAGACAAGAGCAGAACATAGATATTTAATGCATGGTGCAGAATGAAAGCAGTTATCCCATATTGGAACATTCAGTCAGCTGAGACGTTACTTTCCTTGACTTTCCCAATTTCAAGTTGTTGGTTGAAAACCTTATACTGTTTATGTTAAACCAATCTCTTTCTGCTACTTACCCGGCTGTCAGAATGTGTGGCTTTTTGTCTCTGTATCTGAAGCACAATATTAACATTTTTTCCCTTATGTTTACAGCTTTTAGAAATTAACTGGACAGGACTGACCAATCTTCTGGATATTCCAGGACTAAAGTAAGCCTTCCTGAAAAGAAAGAAGATTGTGTATTTTTGAATATTAAGAATTAAATTTATTTACTTCATTTATGCGCTAGTTTTCTTCCCGGGGGAGGGGGACCCAAAGTGGCTTATGTAGTTCTCTTCTCCCCCAGTTTATCTTCACTACAGTCCTGGGAGGAAGGCTAGACTGAGGGTATGTGGCTGGCCCAAGGTTCCATGGCAGAGTAGGGATTTGAACCAGAGCATCACACAGATACATCTACTTTCTACTGCTTTAGTATGTGGAATTAATGATTAAAACATAGCATCTAAAATTGGTTAGAATGTGAAAATGTGTTATACAGCTACGGTTGCCAGATCTCCTCAGTTTGCCGGTGGGGGGGGATTGGGGGGTGTTCCAGGGTCTGGCAGGGATGTCACATGGAAGTGACTTCATCACGCCAGGGACATCGCATGGCAAGGCTCTGCATTTTGGGCAAAACTCTTTTGGCAGCGTCCCTGTTTGGGGGCAGGGCTCCCCCCGCCAGCCAACTGGCCAGTGGTAGGCAGAAGCCCGAAAAATCGGGGGCCTGGACCAGGGATCTGGCATCCCTATATACAGCCCAATAGCAGCGGAGCATAATAGAGCAGGCCTCAAGGCTTCCAAAGCTAGCATAGAATGCATCACTTTGCCTTGCTCTGACTGATTTCATCTCTATACTGAGGTAACAGCAGCCACTGGGACTTGAAGTGGGGGAAGAAACCTCTCCCCAGCGTAAGTTGACAGGGGCTATTTAAAAAACCAGAATGTAATTGGGGGGGGGGATGCCATTCCATTCTGGGGTTCCATGGGTGTAGTCCAGGCTGCTGGCTCCTATCAGTTTTATTTATTTATTTATTGCATTCATATCCCACCCTATCCCATGATGGGCTCAGGGTGGCTCACAACAGAGATGAAACAATAAATGGTTTGTCTAGCAAATATATAGTTTGCCTAGCAAATAAATACAGCAAATAAATAAAGGTGGGGCTCTTATTTGGGGATTAAGAAGCAGTTTTGCCTCACTTGTAATGCGTCCCTTCCTAAGTCGCTGGGGTGACTCTTCAGTTGAGGCATAGGACTTTCCCTTACCCACAGCAGTGAGGATTGGGATCATCCTTATGCAGCACTGATTCTTAATCGCTCAGTGCTCCCACTAAGCTGTGGGGTCTTGTGAGCAAAAATTCCACTTTGTGATCTACTGGCATTAGAGTTGTGAGCGAGCCATTTGGCTATAAATCAGTTTGCTTTGGAGCCCTCCTTCCTGAGCGAAGACAAAAATCTGTGAGCTGGAGGCTAAAAAACTGTGAGCTAGCTCGCACTAATTCAGCTTAGAGGGAACACTGTAATGGCTTGAAGTGGAACTCTCACTTCAGTGAACATGCTGATATAATGACAACATTCTGATAATAGGGCAGACTGATGCTGTGTTCTGCAGAATACTGGTTGGAGCCTGGCTTTCTGTTTCTTTGTGTTTTAAAATTCTGACAGGTATAGCCTCAGGCAGCATGGCTGAGAAGAAAATGTATTGTAGGGGCTTGGGACCAAATATGTGTAGCTTCCTTTATACTGATGTGTATTTGGTCGTGTGCCTTGCACACGAAAGCTCATACCTTGAATAAAACTTTGTCGGTCTTAAAGGTGCCACTGGACTCTAAATTTGTTCTACTGCTTCAGACCAACGCAGCTGACCACCTGGATTTATACTGATAATTCATCTAGCTTAATAGTGTCTACTTTGATAGCAGCCTTCCTGATTATGAAGCAGAAGACGATCTTTCCCAACACTTACAATCATAGATCCTTTAACTATAGATGATTGGGGTCAATGTTCCCTCTAAGCTGTGGAGTCCTGTGAGCAGAAATTCTACTTTGTGGGCTCCTGGCATTCAAGTTGTGAGCGAGCAATTTGGCTGCTGCATAAATTAGTCTGCTCTGGAGCCCTCCTTCCTGAGCTAAGACAGAGATGTGTGAGCTGGAGGCTAAAAGACTGTGAGCTGGCTCACACCAACTCAGCTTATAGGGAACACTGATTGTGGTTGATTGATAGTCTGATACGGCTGGTTCATATGATCATGGCAGCTGCTGCAAGCAATGCACGTTCTCTGCCAGCAAGGCACAGCCGCTCCCTCGTCTCCTCCACATCTAAGCTGGCTATTTTATGTGCTACGTGGTGCCAGCAGATACCACACAGTTGTGTAAGATATAGAAAGAAGGAGGTAGATCTTTTCCCGACATAGGATTATACCCAGCAAAGGTTGAGTTATGATGCACTGTTCTGTTTCTATACTCACTAATATTTCCTAGTGAACCAGTAGGGTCCTTTGTAATCTGCAGCCATGTGACACCTGAGAGAAAACAAACTGTGTTTTATGCAGGAAAGATCTACTAGCATCCGAGCTATACTTGGCTCACCCACTTAGAGAAAAGAATGTAGTCACTCTAGTTCTTCCGCAGTTCAAAAAGTCCCAGACTGGTGGTAGTGAATATTTGAGGTTAACTTGTAGAGCTCCACCCAATACTGTAAACTCTGAAATCACAGACTTGCTTTTAGTGAATGTCTTTTTGTTGTACTGGAAAGCTCATTGTTTGGTGCAAGTTTAGTTGGAGTTTGTATGTAAAAATTCATCAGTCATAATGGTGCCTTTTCATGAAATCATCACAAGCAATGAATTATTCTGTAGTATCAGTAAATATTAAGATAGCTAATATTTTTGAAGGGGAAAATATATTGATAATTGCAGATTTTCATTAGGATGAACATACTGAAACTGCTACCAAAGAAGTCTTAATGATCCATTCATAAAAGTTAAATACTAAGCTAGCATCTGTTTCACTGACATATAGTCCAAAAATAAAATACCTTTTAGTAAGACCAAGCCCCAGATTTTCATTAGGCTGGATGTATGCAAATAAAAGGAGAAAGACACCCTCCCCCTTTTTTAACATTCAGCCTGATGAAAACTTCTGGAGAACTCTCAAAGTTGCACTCTGCTGTAGTTTTGTGTGTGAGTGAATTACATGGCTTTTGTGCATTTTGCAACAGCCCAGTGTAGCTGTCTATTTAAAAAGATGTATAATGTCAGAAACAAACAATGTAAAGTAATAAATATTATGCTTCATTCATCAGTCTTCTACGTTCGGTCACATTAATAAAAGCATATAGAAGAACTTAAGCTACTTGTTCAAATGTGACTAGGCTGTCCCATTATTCTGTGTTACTGTTTCCATCTTGTGGTCATCGAGGGTAAAAATGATAGATGTGTGTGAAGTTTGGGACTTGAGTGTGTATTTCTGCTGCTAGGATCATTGTGTGTTCTAGATGACAGAGAAGTCCTATGTATTTACAGGGGTGAAGCTATGGAGATATGTCGTCTTTCTGGTAGTACCGCCTTTACAAAGTATGAAGCATATAAAGATTAAACTGAATTTTCCCCCATGAACTTTTGTGGAGCTAAATGAGATTTTAGGGGACAGAAGTTTCACGCTTGTCACTCACTTGAAAATTATGTACGTCCCAGAATTGATATTTGCCATGCTACAGTGTTGTAGAACTCTGTATAAACAATAGGTGCAATTTCACATTCAAATACGGACAGCATATAACTGCTGCTAAGCCGGGATTTTGTAAAATTTTCGCATATTTTGTCCTCGACAGCGGTTTATCGGACTCTATAATCCTAAATATTATATCGAATTATCTGGTGCTTCCAAATCGGATCACTGTTCCTCTTGTGAGCGAACTGCAGATTGCACAATTGCGGTTCCCCATACCGAAGGTAAGAACTTTAGTACAAAGTTTGCAGTGCTATTCTGATTCATGAAAAGATATTTTAAAATGTGTTTTGATGCACCTAAAACATACCAGGCAGTCTGCAAAAGACTCAAATGGAACAGCTTCCGAAAGCTAGATAAACAATTCATTACTGGTGCCTTTTAAATGTTGTAGGGTCCGAGCAAGGTACTCTTCAGATGTTATCACAGCAGCATGGAAGTTTTTTTCCTTTTGGTCTCATACTGTTTTGATCATGGTTAAATGTTTGGAACCCTGTGGGGAGGGCAATTTGCACAAGTCTTTCGCACCTGATTATCATCTGGCTGGAAAGAATACGTTCAGTTGGGCCCATGGTACTTCAGAATGCTAACATAGCATGGAAAGAAGCCATGATACAGCTTCTGAACTGCTTTGGTAACCGATGAAGACAACATAAGAGACAAAATTGTCGGCTGTAATTGATTTCTAACTTTAGGTTGGATCAGCCTTCTGGGCTGAGCCTGCGGAATGTTGAAACAACACATCATTTGGTCATAGAAACTGATGTGGTCTAGAAGCAGAATAAACCTTCTACCTCAGGAGAACAAGGCAGCTAAAGCCATAGCAGCCGTGTTCATCAGGGTCTAGCCTAATCCTGCTAATGACCAATCTGCCTACAGTTTGGAATATTTTAATACATTGTTGAAAATTTGGATTACTGCTGTCTTGTCTGTTGGCAGGGTGTACTACGAATACACTTCCTTGAAGCTCAGGATCTGGAAAGGAAAGATACTTTCCTAAAGGGAACTATTAAAGGGAAGTCTGATCCTTATGGAATCATTCGTGTTGGCAATCAGATTTTCCAAAGTAAAGTCATCAAAGAAAACCTCAATCCAAAGTGGAATGAAGTTTATGAGGTAAAAAATTTAGAAATAGTCAATATGGGTACAACTTTTTTTCAAACTGTGTTCAGGTGGTTACGGCACCTGCCAAGGTTGTTTGATATATTACTTTTTTAACACAGAGATTTTTTTTGTTTTTTCTATTGATACAGTTGGGCAGCTGATGCATAGATTGGAAAGTAGCTTGCTGAATGTGTGGCAAGGGAAGTAAAATCATGTGCGCTGCTTGTCATGGATTTAAAAAATTACATTCCTTTACATACCTGGTGGGGAAAGTAATGCTTGAAGCAGCTCTCTAACTCCTCAGAGTGCTGTGGCTACACACTGATGGGAAGGTGCTTAATGTCTGATTGAAATCTAAGGTTTCAAGATGCAGGAGGTCAAGTCAATTTATGTCAGATCTGGCCCTCGTAACAAAATGATGTACAGAGGTTAACCTGCCCTCTGAAATATTGGAGTGGATCCAGTCATCCTCCAAGAAGCTGTTCTCCAACAGAAGAGCCACTAAGTTGGAGGAAGGCTTCAAACTTTGCTTAGAGGAGTGGTATGATAAGGGATAGGAGCCATCCCTCCATAAGTGGATAAAGTCATAAAATAGTACAGTGTATCCATATGAAGCATTGGATTGTGGGCCAAACTTGTAACAAGGACTATTATATAGATATGCAAGTTATTAGTGTGTCATCATGGTCACACACACAAGACCTTGTATAAAATTGTCAGTGGTAATATACCATCTACTGTTTTACTACCTTGTCTACGTATAGTATTTTAGAGAGTGGATATGTAATTTATGTAAAAGCTACATCGAGGCTATATCAAATATTTATGTTGATCAGGCTGCCTGTTCTTGTTAATTGTTGCACTTCTAGGCTTTAGTGTATGAGCATCCAGGACAGGAGCTGGAGATCGAACTGTTTGATGAAGACCCGGACAAGGATGATTTTCTAGGAAGGTGAATATGACAAGATACTTCAGAAAATATTGCCAAAAAGTGAAAAAGCACTTGAGCAGAATGTCTTTGTAATTAGAACTTTAAAAGATACATTTTGTACATTACCTGTCTTTAAGTATTCATTTTAGTTCTAATTTTTTGAATGCCTAATGAATCAAAGTATTTTAGAGAGTGGATATGTAATTTATGTAAAAGCTACATCGAGGCTATATCAAATATTTATGTTGATCAGGCTGCCTGTTCTTGTTAATTGTTGCACTTCTAGGCTTTAGTGTATGAGCATCCAGGACAGGAGCTGGAGATCGAACTGTTTGATGAAGACCCGGACAAGGATGATTTTCTAGGAAGGTAAATATGACAAGATAATTCAGAAAATATTGCCAAAATGTGAAAAAGCACTTGAGCAAGAATGTCTTTGTCTTAGAACTTTAAAAGATACATTTTCTACATTACCTGTCTTTAAGTATTCATTTTAGTTCTAATTTTTTGAATGCCTAATGAATCAAACAGATAAAAATAGTAGGGTTTTTTTCCCCGTGAAACACCTTCATAGAAATGTTACAAGAATGATTTTATATTATGGTAGGTTTCTGTCTTGCAAAGAAAGAAGGAGTGGCAACCTGAGCAAGACATGCAAAACGCAACAAAATAGATTTAATGTTCTCAGTATATATTCCTTGCATCAAGGAATTACCCTATGCCTTTTCAAAATACCACGATATTTTGTGCATGGCATTTTAAAAATGCTTGCCTCTGAAAAGAAAGCAAATAAATGTTGACAGTAATACAGACAAGAGTACAAGCCTGTCTGTATGGTAACAATTACTGTGATGGGAAGTCTCTCTCTCACACACACTTTTTTTTAACATGATAGTTCTGGGCTTCTAATATGTGTGTGAGGAATAACTTCAGAAAACTTTTCTGTGTCCACTCCCAAGACACGCTTTATGTGTTTCCCCTTAAACATCATTTTGAGTCC